TAAATAGGGAAGGGTGGAGGGCGTGAAGGGAGGGCTAGGAATGGGGAAAAAATAAGAACCAAGATGCATTATGTAAAGGTACAATTCCCAGTGAGAAATGTGATTGTGCTGTATACCTACAATGTACCAATAAAAGAATTTAATAAAGTGCAAAAAAAAAGCGTCAAATATGCAGCTTTCAGTCTCTTTCTATATACTTATTCATGGAAACGTGTATTTATGAGTTTTCCTTTCCAAATTTATACAGACTAGATCAGGTTACACCTTTCCCTTTTCTGTATAACTCTATGCCATGAAGGTCCTTTGATATTAGTCCACTAAGCTCTGCCTTCTTGTTCCTTGTGGTTGTGTTGCATTTCTAATAAATACATCTAATAAATAAGATGTATTACTCAGGCCCTGCGCGGGAGCGGCGGCACGGCTAGGTGGCGTCCAGGAGCCCACGGTCTGAGCCTGTCGCTGTACTTTCTGCCGACCCGACGGTCATTATGCCGAAGAGAAAGTCTTCAGAGAATACAGAGGGCAAAGATGGATCCAAAGTAACTAAACAGGAACACAGAAGACGGTCTGCCAGATTGTCCACAAAACCTGCTCCACTAAAACCTGAACCTAAACTAAGAAAAACATCTACTAAGAAAGAACCTGGAACAAAGGTTAACAGAGGTGCTAAAGGGAAGAAGGAAGAAAAGCAAGAAGCTGGAAAGGAAGGTACTACACCATCTGACAATGGTGAAACTAAAGCTGAAGAGGCACAGAAAACTGAATCTGTAGATAATGAGGGAGAATGAATTGTCACAAAAAGTTGGGGGTGATCTTATGTACCTCTTGGGACACGTTTTAAAAGCTATTTTTACCAAGTATTTTATAAATGCAAATTTTTTAGGACTCTACTAGTAGGCAAACAAAGTATATAAGGATAGACATTTTACCCTCTCATAGTCATGCTTTTTGGAAGTTTTCATTATTATCAAGTAAAATAAATACCATCTTAATATTGGAAGCTGTGTATAAAACTGATTGAGCGGTCCATGCACCTGCTTTAAGAATTTAGTCCTGTGCATACCATGGTGTTTTTACTGTGCATATTTGAATTTTTCATGCAATTTTTCTAGAGCAATAATCAGTGGTGCTTTGTACCTAGGTTTTATGCGATTTTAATGAAACATGGATAGTTGTGGCCGCCTGCTATTTTTGGTTTAAAATAAAAAGTTTTCTTGTCTGCAAAAAAAAAAAAAGATGCATTACTCAGGATTTTCCAGAGGAACAGACCAGTAGGAAACAAATACATATGGAGAGAGAGAGGAGAAAAGGAGGAGGAGGAGGAGGAGGAGGAGGAGGAGGAGGAGGAGTTCACTCATACAACTATGGAGGCTGGCAAGTCCCAAGATCTGAAAGTGAACTAGCAAGCTGGAAGCCCAAGACAGCCTATGCTGGTGTAGTTCCAGTCCACCAGCCAGCCAGCTTAAAACCCAGGAACATCAATATTTCAGTTTGAGTCTGAAGGCAGAAAAAAGCCCATGTTCCAGTTCAAAGGCCAATGGGCAGAAAGAATCTTTTCTTACTCAAGGGAGAGTCAGAGTTTTTGTTCTATTAGACCTACAACTGGTGGTAAGTGGCCCATCCACATTACAGAAGGCTTCTGCTCTACTCAGACTGTGATTTAAATCCAAAACCACTCTCACAGAAACACCCATGTTGACCTCTGAGAAAACATCTGGACACATCATGGCCTAATGAAGTTGACACATAAAATTAGCCACCACAAAAGATCATGTAATTATTCCACTTTAGAATGACAGGTAGAAATATGACTGCAATAAAAACTTTTGATTGCATACTTTTGGATACATGTGTCTATCTCTATAGGATATATTCCTAGAACTGAAATTGCTAGGCATATTTGATGGAATAATACCCCTTCTTCAAAATGTCTATAGGGACCTTAAAGTGTGTTGCAGTGAATGGTAAAAGAAATTAATACTGCAAAAGGAATTAAGATTCCTGATCAGCTGACCTGAAAATAGGGTGATTGTCCTACTTTATCCAGGTGGGCCCAATATAATCAGAAGGGTTCCTACACACGGAATAGGGAATCAAATGACAGAACTAGAGAGGTGGCAGTGCAAGAAGGACTTAGACTGATGCTGCTGGCCTTGAAGATGGATGGAGTGGCTGTGGGCCAAAGAATGTGAGCAGCCTATAGAAAGCAGAAAGGACAAGGAAACAGATTCTCCTCTAGGGACTCCAGAGAGGAGTTCCACCCTGCCAACATCTTGGTCTTAGCTCAGGGAGGCTCATTCATTCTTCGGAACCACAGAACTGAAATGTAACACATCTGTGTTGCTTTAAGACACTCAATTGGCAGTAATTTGTTGTAGCAGCCACAGAACAGTAACATTACGGGTACTGGGAAAATGAACACTTAAAATATGATGGATAATGAAAATGGGTTTCACAAAAAGTAAAGGAAGCCTTTTCAATTCTATCATCAGTGAAAGAGAAAGCCCATTTCCCATACCCCCATCAGCACTGCTTTATCAATCTTTTTCCATTTTAATAATTTAATGGGTAAAAAATTATCTCTGTATTGCTGAGACTGAAGATCTTTTTGAACTTGCATGAACTGAAAGTTTATACAAAGTTGGTGGTCTTTCTTGTTGACTTACAGGTACTTTTTAGAGATAATGCCTATTATATATGTTGCAAATATTTTCCTCAATCCATCACACCTCTGTCAACTCCATTATGGTATCTTTTGTCATACAAACATTTTCTTCATGACTAGGATTTTGTGTCTTGTTTAGTAAGAAAAGATTAATGTCTTAAGAAGCTGCTCGTGCCTGCCTGCACTGAGTAATAAATAGCTTGAGTGACCTTTAGTGGACCAAGATTCCTTTGAGGATTAAGTTCCTTATCAAAGTAATGACTTTATTCATTCAAAAATAATTACACTTATCCCACTTTACACCATGCTTAGATGCAGGGAAGATGTGAATGCATATAGCATTCAAAGAATATGCGGTCTAGTGGGGGACAGGGACAATGGAACAGCCAGAAGAAGGGCAGAGAAGAGCTGGTGCTGTGACAGAGGCTTATGCAGAATCTCACACAACCCCACACCTAGGCCATGAAACCTCATGTAGAGATTGCCCAGGTGAGGTAGGAGGACAGAAAGCACATGTGGGGAAGACAGACCTGCGGGTACAGAAGGTTGAGGGCAAAAGGGAGGAACCACAACCCTTTCATAGAATGGGGCTCTGGTGGTGGTGAGCTGTGAGCCCAGAGATGTGGGCAGGGACTGTCACATACAGCTCATTCCGTTTGGCATTTTCCCACAAAGGCACTAGGAAGCCTTTGAAGTTTAAAGCCGGCGAGTGAGAGGTGAGCTAACTAGCCTCTGATAGAAACCACTCAGACTGTTCTGTGGAGAAGACACTGGAAAAGCACAGTTAGGGGAGGAGGCTGCTGTACGGGTGAACATGGGAAGAAAGTAGTGCAGAGATGGACAACTGGACAGATTTTTGAGGTTCATGCCACATTTCCCACCAGTCATATTTATTGTGAGTCTAAGTTCCAGTTAGATATGCAGTGACAGACTTAAAAGACTTTCCAGGGGGAAGGAAAAGTCACTATATTCAAAGTACAAAATTGTTATATAGCCAGATTAAGTTTATTTTAATCTTTTATATTTTGACTTTCTTTATACAGATGTTTGGTCATCAAATTATGATGGCTCAACTTAAAGATTTTTTTGATGTTACAATGGTTTAACAGCAATAGGAATTCAATAGAAACTATACTTTTAATTCTAACTTTTAAAAATAATACTGAGGATTGAACCTCGGGGTCCTATCACTGTGCTACATCCCTAACCCTTTGAATTTTATTTTGAGGCAGGGTCTTGCTAAGTTGCCCAAGATGGTTTTGAACTTGTGATCCTCCTGCTTCAGCCTCCCAAATAGTTAGGATTATAGGCATGTACCACCACAACCTGGGCTGAATTTTGAAATTCAGTCTTTTCTCAGACTAGAGAGATGCAGTGGCATCTCTGTGGTGCTGGCCAGTGCCAGTGAGCTATAGCTCACAACAGTGAGGGTAAACAACTAATACTCCACAGTGTACTATGTGATTAGACTGGGAAGTTCAGTAGGTTAGTTTTCTACAAGCATTTCTGACTTAGGATATTTTCAATTCACAATGGTTTTATGAGACATAGCCCCAACGTAAGTTGGAAAGCACGTGTGTGGCTATGAATGTAAAACTCCAGCATAAGCTGTCAGTCTCTTTTCCTCCTACCTTGCAATGCTAATCTTCCCATGCTACATACTAGGAAAGAAAAGGACTCAGCTTTCCTAAGATTTTCAACTGCCTCTCACTCTGACATTGGTCACCAGTCATCTCACAGCCATTTATAACCTGGAGGTCCTGGGCCTGTGGATAAGAATCTGCTTCCTCCGCCAAGACACTGAGAAGGTGTGAGGGAAAATGAAATTCTCTGCTATTGTTGCCTTTAATGCACATAGTACCACTTCTCAAAAAGATTTAGGAGCTTGGCCTTTTATTGAAGCCCTAGAGCAACCAAAGGGAAGTACAACATAGAAATGAAAATACTAAAACTGTAGACTAAATGTGCATTTTACCCTGCTCCAGGGCAAAGGTGCCTCCCCCTACTCTGCACTCACCCAAGTTCAGCTTCTGCCTTCTGTGTCCAGGTGTGTGACTAACCAGTAGAGGGGACAGGACAGGCCCTTTGTCAGGAGCAAAATTCTCTTTGTCACAGTATCAATCTCAGCTCTCTGCTTCACTCAGAAATGGGAAGAGGGCTGAAGAGCATCTCCAGGACCTATTTCTGGCAGAGAGCATCTGCTACTGGAATCCACTGGCCAACATCTGCCCCTTCTCTCTTTCTCTGGTAACTGGGCCTGACCTGCTATGCAAGGAAGCTTGATAGGATCTGGAGCTCTGAGTGGAGTGTAGGAGGTTTTGGCTGAACTAGTTGACAGGATTCTTGTGGAAATTGGGCGATACAAAGACCGATGCAGAAGTCCAGAAGCTGAGGCCTCGTTTGGAAGATTTAGCGCTTAGGGAGCCTGAGTAAATCTGTCTAAGGTGAGACTTTGTCACCTCTATGCTCCTCTGCTCCTGATCAAGGGGCACTGTCATCCAAAAAGGCCAGTAACCAGGTCCAGGTGAGATTTGAGTTTGGTTTCGAGAAAGGGAAATAAACAAGATCTGAGAAATAGCAGCATTCACTTTGCGGGTAGAAGATAGGGGGCAATCACTAAATCCTGGGCATTAAAAGCATGTGGTAGGGAGGCAGCATTAACACTGTGTCCACCATCTTCCTCAAAGAACTTTATGTTTAATGTGCAACCAGCTTGGCATCGTGGACTGTGAGGCGCTGGGTCCGTCTACCTGAGGTCACAGCCTTCACTACAATGGTTTCCAGCTGGGAGCCAGGGAAAGACAGGACTGAAACAGGCAGAGTGATGGAAACCTGGCCTTTTTTCTTAGAGCCTGAAAGAGCAGCCCATGTCACAGGCAGGAGCTCAGCTGGGCACCATGAGGCTATTTGCAGTTTGACAGCCTCTGCTGAATTATTGATGCCCTCACTGTCTAGGGACCTCCCCCTTGTTAACGAAGTGCACCCCATGTGAGAATTTAAAGAGGCAAATGAGAACAGTCTCTCTCTCTCTCTCTATTATTCCATTCTTCTTTTGCCATCTGAGCTCTAATTTTAAGTCAATCAGCTGAAAGGCATCTCTTGGGAGCTGGCATAGCTTAGAGAGCCATGACCCAGGGCAAGAGAGCAGAGGCCAGGAGTGAGATC